CACGGCGAGCAGGAGGGTCCCGAGGAACTTTCGTAAGCCTCGTCAACCTAACTGCGAATGCGACGCGGCACGTACGTGCGACAAGGATTGATGTACACCCGCGTGGCGGGGGCAATTTGATATTCTCGAGCGACTAAACGGATCGAAAGTTCTCGTTAATTGTTAATTTACGGCACCGTCACTCGTGCCGGTTAATACGAGAATCGCAGCGCGCGCCGCGGCGCGGCATACATATATCTGCATCTTTATTTTGTTATTGCAAAGAAAACCTTCTCTTCGCTCCGCGATTGGAAAGAAAGAGAAAAAGACCGGGAGAAAGGGGGAGTGGGAAGAAAAAGAAGGGGAACAGCGGATCGGCAAGAGGAGAAAAAGAGGCGAGCAAAAGGGGGGGGGGAGAGAGAGGGGGTGGGAGAGGAGGGAGGGAGAGAATTCTTTCTCGAGTTATCAGCTGGAGGTTTTTTTTATTTACACCAAAAAAAAGAGTAGGGCCTTGGCATCGCCAGTCGGCCTACATCGTGCGTACTATTATATTTCGCAAGCAGTTTCGGAGCTAGCGGCGACAATTCTTCCGATAAGTACACGTCGGGATTGAGAAGGAAGAGGTCTCGTTTATACTCTAGCTCTGGAGGTTTTTTATTTAAAAAAAAATAACAAGAAGATGGCGTTGAGAGCCGAGTTCACTTTGTCGCCGCTGGATTCGAGCGAGCGCCGCAAATTGTAACACGCGACGTGGCATCGACGCGAATTAAACGATACAGTAAATAATACAGTAAGGTAAACCGTGCACCGTTTCCAAAGGATATAAAGTATATAAACCAACGAAGGCTGATAATTGTCAAGCGGTAGTTTGGGCGGTTTAACGGAAAATCAAAGTTCCAGAGTGAATAAACAAAACGTACTCTCCGTTCTCCACGCGCAAATATAATATACTTTTTAAAACTACGCCAACTGGAATACAAAACGAAAAAAAGGCTCATCGGCCAGAGAGAGAGAGAGAGCGAGAGAGAGAGAGAGAGAGAGAGAGAGAGAGAGAGAGAGAGAGAGAGAGAGGACATCGCGGGAAAAGTCAGCGTGGCGCCACCCGGCGCAGCCGCGTTCAACTTGCGCGGCGAGCGTAACGCGGGCCGTCGCCGCTGCGCGTCGCTCCGTGCGTCAATGCGCTCCCGCACACGTCGTTGCGCGATCGTCGTCGCAGTAAGTCTCCGTTCCTCCTGTGTGCGATCGTTCCGCGCGTCGGTCCACATCGAAGGCAAGGTAAACCGCTGGACGAGAACGGTCGAGGGGGACGATCGCGTTCCTCGCGAGGGCACGTTTCTACGCGGTAACTCTACGTCGCTGCGGCGCCAGGCTGGCGGCCGTGGGGGGGTGCGGGCGTCGCGGGCGAGCGAGCGAGCGAACGTGTGTATACATGCGTGCGTGATTGCGAAGTGCGTAAGGTCGCGCATCACCTCCCGTATCTCCGCGTTACCTTATCTGGTAACCAGGTGATACGCGCGATCCTCGCGAAGGAATCCGCGCTCATGC